TGCAAACTTTATGACCATGGAAGCCCCATGCAAGCTTTTAAGCATTTATATGGCCTTTTTAGCCCTAAAAGGCCATACATGGAAGGAAAGCTTGGAACTTTGCATGTCTAAGTAGTGTTAGGGGTTAAGATATGAAGTTGTAAGCTTTAGTTTGGTGTATGGAAGGGTTAAGGACCAAGTTCTAGGTCCCAAGGAATTAGGGTTTGAGCTAAACCCTTTAAAAAGTAGTGTTAAGGGGTAAAGTCAGAAACTTTACCCTTAAAAGGACATTTTCAAAGTTATTGTGAAGTATGAAGCTTGGATCTGAAGTGTAGGGGCTTAATCCATTAAGATAGCCCAAGCAGATAGGGGAACTCGGCGAGTCCAGTAAGGGACTCGACGAGTTGAAGCCGGGTTGTCCCGATTGTATGCCAGGTAGAACTCGATGAGTCTGTGAAGGGACTTGATGAGTTGACTTAGTTGACCACGAGTCTGAGTAGTATAGGAACTCACCAAGTTAGGAGATAACTCGACGAGTTGGGTTGACTGGGAGTTGACATTGACTTTGACTTTGACCAGGATGTTGACTTTGAACAGGGGTAAAATGGTCATTTTACCCTAAGAAGGATTATCATATTTTGATTAAGTGTTATTGTGAAATTGATAGTCGGGGAGTCGTTGGAGCAGCCGTCAGAGATTCCTCACACGAGATTTCACAGCTAGCCTTCAAGGTGAGTTTCCTTCAGTATGAACGAGTTTCAGGCACCAAGGTCGGCCCGTAGTATGATATGTTAGTAGCTGAGTGTGGGCGATGCCCATATCTCATAGTAGCCGAGCGTGGGCGGGGCTCGTACCTCATAGCTTAGTTTGATTATGGTTATATGTCTGATTAATAGACTTAGTTATACTTGTTGTTTATGTGATACTTGTATGTATGTTTAGTAGCTGAGTGTGGGCGGTGCCCGTATCTCATAGCAGCTGAGTGTGGGCGGGGCCCGTATCCCATAGTAGCCGAGTGTGGGCGGGGCCCGTATCTCGTAGTAGCTAAGTGTGGGCGAGGCCCGTATCTCAGAGTCAAGGGAGTGTGGGCGGGGCCCGTATCTCCACGAGTGTGGGCGGGGCCCGTATCTCCTAGTTGCATGTTATGTGTATGGTATGTGGTAGTTTGGGGAGACTCACTAAGCTTCGTGCTTATGGTTTTCAGTTTTGGTTTCAGGTACTTTCGGTAGCAAGTGGAAGGGCTCGGGATGAGTGCAGTGCACACACCATTGTTTAGTCTGGGATGCTTATACTCTGATATTTTGATATACATTGATATGATGTTCGAGATATTATGACATGTGTTTTGGATAACTATGGTTTTATTAATAATTAAAAAACGAAATTTTTGGTTTGAAATTTTGGGATGTTTCAAATTTCATGAAAATTATCATTCGTTCCAACAACTAGAGAAGAACTGATAAAAGTAAAATGAATACTCGAAAATTAAGAAGAAAAATAGATCTAGAATCACCTAGTTGTTAAATTTGTATATGGAGAATAGAGAATAATATATCTCTATTTTGACGTGGAATAAATCAAATGGGACTTGGGGGGTCTTATTTATATTGATTGGAAAAACCCTAAAATCCCCCAAAAAGCAAATTGATGGCAACGTCCAACCTCTAATAGGTTGTACGTGCCACCCTGTTGACCGGGTGAACATCCTTGGACTAAGTGTTGTTATCTAGAAGGTTCTTGGAGTTTATCCATGAAGTTGATACGCATGGTTAACTCTAATCGGGTTAGTCTAATCACCTCACACCTGAAAATTTAAATGATGAGGCTCTTTATTATAATTATCACTACAATAAAACAATTCCAACTCCAAATCAACACGCTAGTTCACCAAATTGAATCTGGTCGGAATCATAAAAATCCTCTAAGTAAGGATATTAAGTTTTATAAGAACAAAGATAGTATACCAAAGATAGTATACCATGTTGAGGGGATTCTCACTACTAAGAATGCAATTATCGATATGTGCTCTAGTATAACTAACAAAAAAATGGTAGTCGGATCCAACTTCATCAATATAAGCTCTTGTATGACTGATAAAAAATATTCGTCAAGTCCGGTTCCCGCACCAATTTAATTGACAAAAAATGTTCAATTGGAAGGCATCTATAAACGGGACATGTTGGGAAGTTTACCGAATAAGTATATTTTAATTTAGTTAAATTTGTAAATTAGTAATAGTGTATTTTTTACTTGATTATGTATGGTTTTATCCTTATTAATATCATGCTTGCACATTGGTTGCTAAGATTGTGTTTGACGCACCACATCTAGCTGATAAACTAGTTTATTTTTCAAGTTTGTTTAAATTGACATGTTTGACATGTCAAAAAGTAGCTTATGAGTTGGTTTTTTTAAAAACTACTTACACTAGCTTTTCAAGAGTTTTTTTTTTTTTTTAATTTTTCAAATATACCCCCTAATTAATTATAGAAAAAAATATTATTTTAAATGCCCTTTTATGTCATTCAATAATTTTTCAGCTAGTTTTTATTAAATGTCAAATTTTATTAGCTAGTTTTACCAAACGTTAAATTTTATTAGTTAGTTTTTCAGCTATCAACTAACTTTTCATATATTCTAACAACTAGGTTTTTAATTATCAGCTAGCTCTTCAATTAGTACCCCAAACATAACCTAAATGTTAATAGAGTTGGATATGCAGTCTTTGGTTGTTACCGTATACCATAGTCGAACATTTTTGGACAATTTTTGAGAGGTTAAAAACGAATTTTATGAAATGGAGGTGTATCTCCCGATATAGTTAGAGTCCATAGACTATTGGGTCGGCAAAGACGTGTGCAACCTAGCCCAAATGGACATTCAAGCTTACTTTTTGTGAGGTTGATCTTCTGGGATATTGTTGTACTTTTCTTTAATATGTTTATGGAGTTATTAATTTTAGTATATGACTTGATTTCAGATAAGGACTTATCTCGCCGATATGGATTGTCGCATGCGTATTATACAATTAATAACATTTGATTTTTTCTAGATATCTAATGGATGTGGGTTTTTTAAGATCTAATCTGAATATCAAGTTCCATATGCTAGAAATCGTGGAGATGTTACCAACAATCTAATACCACAATTATCCAACTTTTTTTTGCCCCCTTCAGTTTTGTTTTAACTTAAGTATTCCAAGTATTTAATTCATTGTAAAACTTGATCAATTTCGAAGTTCGAAACTCTGAATTGTAAAACTTAATCAATTTTTATAGGTTTTTCTCTGAAAATATTTCAAACCTATATAATAATTTCGTAATTTGGCCAATTATAAATTGATGCTTATTTTATACTATTATTAAAATAATTGATCAATTTATTAAATGTGATGACCTAATATAGTCATTTTTATGAATATCTACTGAAACAAATCATGTGCAAACAGCCAAACAGGACCATACATGAAAATCCATCAAGATAATGTGCAAAAGATAGACTCGGAACATTATGAACCATAAACGGAACTTTACTGAATATCAGGGACTTTAAATGGAAACTTACTGAATAAGATGGATTATAAATGTAAAGTATCTAATCATTAGGATATCATTTGTCATCTGACAGCTGCTTTTTACTCATATTCCCAAATTTAACTACGTAGAGTCACCGGTACGGACAATCGACATCTCTCACTGACAGAGAGTGGCCGTCACTCCAACGGACCACCGCTGACCGCTCGCCGCCATGAGAGCCGCAACGAGCGTCCCTTCACCGGATCACATCACAAACCCCAAAACATTCATAAAAATTCTAGTCCTGTCGTTCTTCTCCTTATCCCTCTTCTTCGCCGTCAAACACTTTTCCTCCGACACTACCTACTCTCAGGAATTCTCTCTACCGTTCTCCTCCACCACCAACACTACCACAGCCGTCCACGCCGATGTCAATTCCACTGCCAACAGTTCCACCACTTATTTGTCCTCGCCGCCAAACGCGGTCTCTCCGCAACTGCCGCGTCTGCAGCCCGAAGATGTTATTGAGAGGACGGGAATTGTGGACGAGAACGGCGCGATGACGGTTGACTTTGTGATAGGGGATTACGACTCGAGTTTACTTGAGAGTAAGGTTAACGAAAGTTTGGGGGAGAGTGTTGTAGAAAGCGATCAGAATTGGGAAAAAATTGAAAATTTTAGGGTTTGTGATCAGAGTAGAAGAGAGTATATACCTTGTTTGGATAATGTAGATATGGTTTCTAGGTTAAATTCAACTGAAAAGGGCGAGAAGTATGAAAGACATTGCCCAGCAAAAGGAAACGAATTGGATTGTCTGGTGCCCAATCCCAAAGGGTACAAAGACCACATTCCATGGCCAAAAAGTCGAGATGAGGTATGCTGATTTACATTTCTATTTTCTTTACCTAATGCTTGTTCTGTTTTGCTTGTTTTAGTTTCTTACGCTCAACTCACAACAGGTATGGTATGATAATGTACCTCATACACGTCTGGTTGAAGATAAAGGAGGACAAAACTGGATATCAAGAAACAAAGACAAGTTCATATTTCCAGGAGGTGGAACACAGTTCATACATGGCGCAAATCTGTACTTGGATCAAATCTCTAAGGTTTTCTATCTTCAATTACTGTAGATTATAAATTAAGTATCCATGCCTTTGATTCCATCTTTCTACCAAATGTACAGATGGTTCCTGATATTGCATTTGGTCAACATGTTCGAGTTGCATTGGATGTTGGTTGTGGTGTAGCAAGTTTTGGTGCTTTTTTACTGGATCGAAATGTGACTACTCTATCTATAGCACCAAAAGATGTTCATGAGAACCAGATTCAATTTGCCCTAGAGCGTGGTGTTCCTGCCATGGTGGTAGTATTTGCAACACACAGATTGTTATATCCAAGCCAAGCATTTGATTTAATACATTGCTCAAGATGTAGAATAAATTGGACTCGTGATGGTATTCCCCTTTCAATTGTGTTTAGTTTTTTCTTGGTATTTAGTATTTACTGATATTAATTTTCTCTTTACCTTTTGTTGGTTTCTGTTTAAGATGGAATTTTTCTTCTGGAGGTGAACAGGATGCTAAGGGCAGGAGGATACTTTGTCTGGGCAGCACAGCCTGTTTATAAACATGAAGATAAGCTTCAAGAACAATGGAAAGGTGACATGACAATATGACATCTCTATTTACAAAATTCAGTAACACATATATATTATATAGAGACATTGGTTATATATGTCATCATGATTGTTGAATAATGTAGTAAATAAAATACAGAAATGGAGGATCTTACTGGACGCATATGTTGGGAACTGATAGCAAAAGAAGGATATATCGCCACATGGCGCAAGCCTCTCAACAACACCTGTTACTTTACACGTAATCAAAACACACAACCTCCAATATGTGAAGAAAAAGATGATCCAGATAATGTTTGGTGAGTCATGGTTTTATTATTATTATCATCATCATTAACATTATGTTTAAGTTTTTTACAAAGTTGTATCATGTAGGTATGTCCCACTGAAGGCATGTATAACTAAATTACCTGAAAATGGTTATGGAGGTAATGTTACAGAGTGGCCAGCACGCCTTCATCATCCACCAGAGAGGCTTCAAAGTATAAAAATGGATGCTTTTGTATCCAGGAAGGATATATACAAAGCAGAGTATAAATATTGGAAAGAAATAACATTTAGTTATGTTAATGTTTTTCGTTGGAGGACTTTAAATGTACGAAATGTGATGGATATGAGGGCAAGATATGGAGGGTATCAATTATTAAATATTCAATCTATTTCTTTTTCTGATATATGTTATTATAGCATGTTGATGTTGTGTATGATATGATATGATATGATGACAGATTTGCAGCAGCATTACATGATCATGGGGTTGATTGTTGGGTTATGAATGTTGTTCCTGTTAGTGATACCAATACTTTGCCTGTTATCTATGATCGTGGACTTGTGGGCGTTGTCCATGACTGGTATGTAAGAAATAGCAACCTACTTTCATTTATTTATTTATTTTTTATTAATTAAATCTTTTTTTTTTTGGTCAGGTGTGAGCCTTTTGACACATACCCTAGAACATATGACATATTGAATGCTGCTGGGCTCTTCTCCATAGAGCAAAAAAGGTAAAATTTGTAAAATGTTAGGACTTGATGGATAATATAAAACTATATAAGTAACTAAAAGGGTTTTTGTTTTGTTTTGTTTTGATTGAAAAGCAGGTGTAGTATGTCTAGCATAATGCTTGAGATGAATCGAATCTTAAGGCCAAATGGGCATGTGTATATTCGGGATGTTAATTCTGTGATTTATAAACTTGAAGAAATAGCAAAGGCGATGGGATGGATGACACATGTGTTTGACAATGGTGAGGGTCCCAATGCTGGGGTCAAACTTTTGACATGTGAAAAACGCCTTCTATAACACAAAAAACACTTTTCTCGTATTCATATTCCTTAAAAGTATATACCAGATAGCTGCTGCAACATTTATAGCCTTAAACCTTAAACTGATCATTGGAAAACTGGAGCAGGAAGTTTGTTGATGAAGGAAAAAATAATTCTAATAAATAGGTAGAGTTACTTGTATTCATTATATGGATAAATGTTGAATTGAATATATTAATTGATTGTAAAATTAAAAAGATAAGACAAACGGGTATTGGAATGGTAAGTAAGATGACTCATGAATCCAATCCATTTTGGCATTTACTAAAACTTTTATGTAGTACAATTTATAAACAAGGCCGGCCCCTACTCCCTATAGACAATGTGCAATAATGCTCAAAAGTCGAAATAAACGTGCTCCCAAAGCTAAATAATGAGAAAAAGGTTTCAACATTATGTGGATTATTCAATTAATTTTACTTTATAGATGATTGATTTTTAATTCTTGTTGTCTGTTATAATTTTTTTATTATTATTTGAATAACTTTTCAGTTCCTTTTTGGTTTTCTTTTAACCAATCTAACACAACTTTTTATTATATAT